AGCAGGAATTGAAAGAGCTGTGTTTCCACTTGATGACAGCAAATAGGGCCCTACAACAAAAGGCATTTCAAATGAAAAAAAAATAAAATAAAATAAATAAAAAGGAAATAAAAATCTGGGTTCCCTGCCTGTGAAATTCATGCTCAAGATCAGTTAGAATTAAATTATGTTTTGTCAGAAAATTAAATATATGGTTTTCTATAAGCATAAATTGCTAATTTTCCCCAGACACTGCCAAACAGATTGGAGAAGCAGTTTTTAAGCTAATAAATAGGAAATCTTCTCAATACCAGTGACTTTAGCTTCCCTGTGCTACTGAGAATATTTAGTCAGAGAACTGCCTAATTTGTATTTTCTAAGTAGAGGTTAAAGCTAATTATTTTAAAATGGAACTATAATTGCTATCAGAAATTAATTCCAGTATTAGACAAAGTTCCAGACACTTTACAAAAGAGAGGTGTTTCAGTCTTCTATTGACTTGTGGATAATCTAGTGATTTGATCAACAATAAGGACTAACCAGCAGTTTGCTTGGTTACAAATACCTAGCAAATCTGTTGGAGATATTTTGCTCACAGAGAAAAGCCTCTAAACCCTTTAGGAAGGTTAAGTACAAAAGAAACCATGAGGAGAAAGAATAATTAATACTAGTGGAAGCAACTGATAGGGAAAATAAGAGTAAGAGTTCAGATTACACACTCAAAAATGGGCCAGTGAGAGACCAGAGTGCAGATACAGGACAAAGCACCTCCTGTTCCTCAAAGATCTCCAAGGAGCTGGTCAATGGTGCCCCATGGTGCTCTGCAAGAGCCATGAGAGGACAAGGTGAATAAGCAGACTCCATGGTCATGCAGAGTCTCCCCATTCAGCTTCTCCTGATGCCATTTGGTATCACAAACCCCTCTTAAGACTATAAAGGCTTAGAGGGTCATGCTGGAAGGAGGCCACAAACCAGCACACAATTGCTCTTTGTGCACCTCCATTGTAGACTTGGTTCTTTTTTTGTCATTCCACCATGTTTGCATACTCACCTGTGCTTAACTTAAAACAAACATCTCCTTCTCTGGAGACTTTCCAGACCCATCTGGATGCCTTTCTAAGTGATCTGCCCTAGTTTTTGGTCTTGGTCTGGCAGGGGGACTTGATGATGACCTTCGGAGGTCCCTTCCAACCCCTAATTTTCTGTGATTGATTCCTTGATTCTGTGAACATAAGCTCCATCTCCTCACTGAATGGACTGCAAGCTTGCCAATTGCCCATATGGAAAAGCTCTCAGGTCACCTTATGGCCTATGCTAAGAGGAAGAAAACCACCTTTGCGGCAACTTCTATGACAATATACTTTTCCTTGAGGCTTAATATATTTCAGGTTTCTAAATAATAGTTTCACAGTCAGCCTGAGAAATCTGCAAATTATTGAAACTGCAAGAGGCTCCAAAATTCACTGTCAAGACCAAAGCTTCCTTCTGACTGACTTGCATTGCTGGCACCTGTTGTTGATGCAGCAAAAACCCAAATGTTTTCATCACAGAATGACAGAATGGTTAAGGTTGGAAGGGACCATAAACAACATTAGCTTCCAACCTCCCTGTGTGTGCAGGGACACCTCCCACCAGACCAGGCTGCACAAGCCTCATCCAACCTGGCCTTGAACACCTCCAGGGATGGGGCTTCCACAATGTCCCTGGGCAAGCTGTTCCAGCACCTTCCTTCCCTTATGGGGAAGAATTTCTTTCTGATGTTTAACCTAAATCTCCCCTCTTTCAGTTTAAAACCATTACCCATGTCCCCTTTTAAACCTCTCCCAGTTGTTTTCTCTATTTCCAAAGGGTTTGAGGACTGTTACATTTTTTCAGTGCTTTGTTGTTCCACTCAGAGTATTTCCCCAGCTTTGTTCCTGATACAGTTTAATAATGAAAGCCTACAATTTACCTCAGCAGCACTACTCAAATAACTGCACTACACAGAAAATTATTTTTATTTTGCCCCCAGCCCAAACCCACACATTTATCAAGGGGGAGCCTAGGACCTCAATTTGTAAGGACATAAAGAAGCAATAACAAAGAAAGAAGTCACTATAGCAACATGTTGAAAAGAGGTTTTATATTTTGTGGTGAGAAAGGAAGCAGAGGGTATTATGTAAAAAATACAGGTCTCTGCCTGTAAACCTGTGTATTTTAAAAACAGGAATGGTCCCACCTGGGAATACTAACAGTGTCATTGCACACTACAGATTTCTGTTTTCTAAGCTTTTTTTTACATTGCATTCACGAGGGCAAGCATCCTATTTTTTGTTTCATGTGAAAACTTTCATTTACTATTTTGTCTCACTCCATCAGCTGGAGGAGAGTTTACACAAAAACTCCAAACACTTCAAAACATTATACTCCCTGCTCATTTTTAAGCAGACATCAGCAGGATCAGAGTCCAGTTTGTTCATGTTTTCTGCCTTGAAGCAGTATCACCACGCCGCCAATGTATCCACATGGTTTTCTTCTACATCCTATAGTTACCTAGGAGAGCATTTCTGTCACATTGTTCTTGCATTTCTCTGCCTGCTTCTGCTGGTGATTAAAGACACTTGCAGAGCTGCAGACGTGTCAGCCAGAGCTCTCCCAGTGCACACAGCTGCTTGCAGTCAGCTGCACACATTCCTGTCCAGGGAGGTATGGAACAGAGCCAGACTCCCAGCCACCTGTTACAACACATTTTAACTAAAGTTGACTCCATTTTCTATAGAAACAGAGATTCTTACTCCTGGTTTATCATCAAAACACCCAGCAGTTCAGTAGATGACACTTTGTTGTTGCTTCTCTAGAAGACAGGATAGATGGAGCTCATCCACTGTGGATGAAAGTGGTGAGCAATGGGAAAAGTATACAAAGTTGAGATCAAACTTTCAGGGAACACAAACTATACTCCCTCAACTGCAAAAAGCTTTTGTGACATTGAGTAAACCATGGAGTGTTTCTTTCCCTCTGTTTCCCAGGTGTAAACTTGTGACCTCACCAGTGGGTAGCTGCACAAATGCACTATGAGGACTCGAGCATTGAGAGCTCCATACTGCAGGGGAAAGGAAAAGCTTCTCTCTGATGGTATAGATTGAAGGTTATCTTTATTTCCAACTCTCAGATAAACATCAAGGCCAATTTCTCTGATGCCTCTGTCTCCTCTTAGAATGTAATTTAAGATGAAAACTCAGAGTAATTTAAATTCAGAGGGTAATGCTAAATTTTGAGTGTGACTCAGCCAAACTGATTTCCAGGCTGATCAACATTCATGCATAATTGAAGCTGCTTTTGTTCAAGCAGTTCATACATTTACCAATTATCAACGTTACAGGAGTAAGAATCACTTCTGCTGGAAAGCACCTCCTGAGTCATAGGAACAATTTGTCTCTGGGTGCATAAATCCTGAGAGACAGACAGGTACTTTGAGCAAGAACCTCACCCTCATGAGTCAGCTCACAGCTCCCCTCACTTTGATGCTTTAAAACAAGCATCCCTACTGGTATGGAAGTGGGAGCTTCTTCCTAGAAACTCAGGAAAAAAACATCTACTTACAATCATTTTTCTACAATATGTCTTTAAAGATGCCAGTGTAAAAGGAAAATGCAGTTTTAGTACTTTCCTTTATATGTCTTTGGACAAGTGACTATTGTGTCATATCAAAATTTAAACGTGACATTCCAGTTAAACAGGAGATATATAAGTTTTCAAGATGTAAGCACATTCCAGTCTCTCAAGCTTCATGCCTTGTAAGAAAAACAGAAAACCTCACAAATAAAGATTTCAGACCCACCACTAAACCACAGTCCTTTTCCTAACTCAGTTTGTTCATGCCACTGCAGATTCAAGAAGCAACTGCTCAAGTGAAAGCTTCACCCATAACTGCAGCCAGGAGGTATGGAAAAGCAATCACTGAATGCCAGGACTGATTAAAATCATATTATCAAAGATACATTTCAGAGTTAGTTTTGCCTCTGTTTAGTATTCTATTTTTAATACAGTTAGAAAGTAAATTAAGCCACTTACAGTGAGCCAAAACTTCCCTTGTTTCCATGGAAATTTTTAGAAGGCTGATCTGAAGTTAACCAGACTGGTAAGTACAAATGCTTGTTATCAGCCAGCTTAATCCCCACGGCTGCCTCTCGTGCACACCATCACACCCAGGAACCTTTTACACTATGAAAGGCTCCTTAATGACAGCTGATTTCTAATCCAGTGCACAGACTGAGCAAGATCGTCTCACATATGTGTCACACTGACGGAGGCAGGGGGGGCCACCAAGCCTGCATGCTCATTATCTATAAATTTCCTGTCAGCAATAGACCCTTTTAATATTCCACAATTCGAAGGATGACCTGGTATCTTTTTATTATACAATCATTCCCCGCTATTTCCAGTTTTCATCTAACTCCAGGAATTTTACACTGGTGTAATTCTTGCATCCAGTGAAATTACTTCTGCTTTATCCCAGGGTAAGTGAGAGGGGAATGAGATCGTTCATGCTTTATTTGCTGGAGATGATGGATCACTATTCAAATATTAATGCTGATGTGTGCTACAGAAAGACCATATGTAATAAATCAGTAACACACAGCAGGAGTCTTGCCTGTAGGTCTGGTTGCAGGGGAAGGGTGAAGGTGTCTTCAGAGACTTCGTAGTGAAAGAAAGTTATAGAAATAGAGCTAAAAAACACTAATAAAACTCAGTCATTTGTGCCTACATGAAACGGCAAATTTCATGCACATAGCAGTTTTTTGGCCCATTCAAGGCAGAAACCTGGAAAAACAGAAAGTGAGAGGCAAGTCCTGCTTGGACAAAGTTTGAGTGCAAGCCAACCTAACAGCTTGGTGCAGCTTGGTGGACTTGCTCCTCCATCCCACCTTTCCATATGCTTCCTTGAACCCACACCAGATACCTCGTCCAGCTTCATTCCTTGCACTAGCTTTCATGCTTGACAGGCATTTTTCTGAGGTAATTCACCTCATTAATTTGGCAGAATATTGCACACTTTGGGCAGGAGGAGTTACTTTTGTTGTAGCTCAGCAAGTCAAATCACCCCAGCAAGGGACCAGGGGATGCCAAAGCCAACTATGCAAGGCCAGAAATGAGTGAGCGCCTCAACAGCAGGGAGCCTCAGCTCTATCTGAAATGTACCTTAACCCATCAGAGCCCTCTGTCACACAAGTCCACATTTAGCCTCAGTTTCTGCCTATGAATACCTGTAAAACAAACTTCTGCAGCAAGCAAAGAGACTGGAAAAACAAAAGTTGCAGCCCTACCCAGCACTGGAGACACTCCAATTTTTTTTCAGGTACTTTTAACACATGGGGAACTTCTCTCCATTGCAACTGCCTTTAGTCATTGAGTTAGGTCTGGAATTAACTTGATTAAATGGACTGTGAGATGTTCAGTGTGCATTGTGCTGCAAGTCCCTTGGGTGCTGTGGGAAATATGTTTCAGGTTAGGAAAAGACAAAATTGATAGGGGTTATTTCTACCATTGCATGGCTCAGCACTATCATTTTTTATTCAGTATGGAAGTTCCATTGTGAGTGCATAGTACAATACATGATTATTCATTTATTTAAGTGCTACCTTTGCTGTACATAAATAGAACTTTCCATATCAAAGGCTGAAAAATCTAAATTATCACAGACAGTAGCTGACTTTGCAGTTACCTTGTATCCAGATTAAAAAAAAAAAAAAACTAGAATCCACAACATTTATTTCACTGAACAATAGGGAGAAGTAGTAGCAAAATTCTGAGTTAAACTGTGGATGAGGTGTCAATCCATGCTGCAGCAGCATGTATGGCTCTGAAGAAAAACAAGATCCAGTAAACAATGGAAATGTGGGTGAAAAAAAACAGAATGAAGTGAATAAATGTTTGTGTGTACAAGTCCTGGGAGCAGGTAAAAATCTTAAGCTCTTAGCCAGAGGGATTCAAGCCAATGTGAACATATCTGGAGAGACTGGCTTATCAAATGTTTTCAGGAGGAAAAAAATGCATTATCTGAAAGTGAATCATAGTAGCAATTCAGATTTGTCTGCTATGTCACATGAGGTCAAGCCTCTTAACATTTGTCAAGCTAGAAAACAGCAGCAAAATTTGAACTATCCTTTCTGGTGACTTGAGTCAGAGCAGAGGCCAGCCCTGACAGCAGCTGCACAAGAAACAGCTGGCAGAGAACTAGCGTGCCTGAGCAGTCTCAGAGCTTCAGATTATCAGTGTCTCAGTGTCTTCTGTTGGAAATAAATAATTTAAAAAACCAACAGAAACCAAATGTAATTTCTTTCCTAATCAAAGCGTTCTGAACAACATAAATGGGAGAAATGCTCATCTTCCTAGCATGCTGTGTCTGCTACTCTATGCAGAATAAAACAATGTTCATTTTAAAACACCTGTTTGAAAATAAACAAACAAACCCTAAAAGATAGGGAAAAGCATCTGATATAAAAATTTAAATTATAAAATTTAATACATTTAAATATATATATATATATACATAAAAATCAGTGTTGCTGAAGTTAATTCCAGAAAAAAATAGAAGTATTGAGTGAATCAGAAAACTTCAATAAAACTTAAAGTTTTCCTTGAAGTAGCCTGGAGCATCTCAACTCAATAGTAAGTCTGGCTTACTATTTGCTGAAGATCTCTAAATCAAAAAAAAATACAAGGACAGACTGAAAGAATCATAGAATCATAGAATGCTGGGTTGGAAGGGACCTCAAGGGCCTTCTGGTCCAATCTTTTTAGGTAATAATCCAACCTTGTTAGGTAATAAAAGAATCAGGTTTGCTCAGCCTTAAAAAGAAAGGCTAAATGAGGGTCTCATTGCTGCCTTTAAGAATTCAGTTGGAGGGTATAAAGAAGATGGATATATCTCCTTCTTAGAGGTGCATAATGAAAGAACAACAAGCAGCCAGGGAAAAGCCTACTCAGTGTAAGAGGGGAAAAAAATCACCATGATGGTGGTCAAATATGCAAAAAGGGGACCAGAGAGGCTACAAAATCATCTGCAAATAAGGTCCTGAGCAACCTGAACAGCTCTCTATCTTGTCTTACTTGCTTGGGAGAAGAATAACAAGCAACAGGCAAGATGAAATGGCCTCAAATTGTGCCAGGGAAAGTTTAGATTGGATATTAGGAAAAATTTATTCACTGAAAGTATTGTCCAGCACTGGAACAGGCTGCTCAGGGAATAGTTGAGTCACCATTGGATCACCTGGAGGCAAAGACATGTAGACGTGGTGTTTAGGGACATGGTTTAGGGAAGGACTTGGTAGTGTCAGGTTTATGGTTGGACTGAATAATCTTAAAGATCTTTTCCAACCAAAACGATTCTATCATCGAGACAACCATACTTCCAGGGATGCAGGGGTCAGCTGAGTTACAATTTGAAGCTACAGCTTGTCACACAAATGCTATTCAGTGTGAAACAGCAATATCAGGAGAGGTTCCTCTAAGCAGAGCAGAAGGGCTCTGCTCTGAGTACAGGTCAGACCTGACAGTGCCAGGCCAGAGAGCAGCCAGGAATTGCCAGTTGAGAAGTAAAGACCAAAGGCAATGATCCCATGGAGCCCAAGTCCTTTGGAGTGAACTTTCTAGTTTAGCAGGGTGTGGGACCTGTTTAGCCTCAGCTGTGTCTCCGTTATCCAGCATTTCAGAGATTCCCAACAAAGTTTGTTGTACTTTTGATTTTAGCATTAACTACCCACATCAATATCCTGCTCTAAATGATGCAAGTGGGAGTTTCACCACAGAGTTCAGGAGGGCAGGGATAGATGAATATAGTGTCTTGTGGGAATGCCAGGAGTCTGTCTGGCTTCTGGCACACAGCCCAGCAATTCATGTATTCAGAAGAGACCATTAGATCATTTAGCCTGACCTGCTGTATATCACAGTCCATTATATTTCACCGTCTCATCCTTGCACTCAGTTCAACAAATATGTATCAGGTACAATAAACTGTTATTCCCTGGGTATTTGCCAGCCTGAATGAGATATTTTCTTTCTGAAAAGGTACCAAGTCATTTCCAGTAACCTCCTGCCTGCAGTGGAAGACTGCTTTGAATAGCCTCTGAAAGGGAGGGGAAATCTCCTGACCAGTGAGGGCTGGTAAAAGCTGCTGTTTACAGGACCAATATATTTGATTAAATCAACATCTTATTGCAAGGAAATATTCAGTTGCCAGTACAAATGCTGAGATAAGTATATTCAAGAATCCAAGGTATGGCTCATGATTCAGTGCATGCTGCCTGCTTAGATTAATTACTATTAAATTCCAAATGCTTGATTAGTATTGCAGTTTTATGCAACCAGTAGTGATGTGTGGTGCTGTATGTTGGACTTCAAGATGCCTTATAGCTGAGATGGCAGGATCATGGTGCTCCTTCTCTATCCCCCTCCCAGCTCACCTACATGTCCCATCTTCAGCCAAGATCCAACTACCTGTTCTCTGCCATCCCATAGCTTAGCTGTCTGTCAGTGACATGAAGGACAGTGCCTGAGTGTTCAAAACAAAGCTAATATGAAATTTGCAGAATTCCTGACTAAATGGAAGTGTCTTCATTTAAACAAAAGACATGAACCTTTTTGGATATGAACTTTTCCACTGTTCACTGAAAGCCCATCTTAATCCTTCATTATTTATCTCACTGTGTCTGCAAAGTGATAGAAATCGGTAAACCCCAAAGACATTTGTGCAGTCAAGAATGACTTACTGTTCAAGCATTTTGCTCAGGTACAAGATTGTGATCAGTAGTTTAAAAAGAATAAATAGACCCTGTTTACTCACCTGCTTAGGATGATTACTACAACTCATTGTTTCAATCATTTCCCCACTGATGAGGGAGATTTTTTTGGTTTTAACCAAAAACTGAAACACCCTTGGAGTCCCACAGCACTGGGATTTAGCCCTTAAGAATTCAAAACATACTCCACAAATATGGTTTAAATAGTTTGTAACATTGAGTATTGCAGTTTCCACTTGGAATTGCAGTTTATGCAGTGCAGTAACAGTGCTGACTTTCCTTAGAGAGATGCCAGCCAGAGGGACCTGGACAAGCCAGAGAAGTGGGCCCAGGTGAACCTCGTGAGCTTCAACAAGGCCAGGTGCAGGGTCCTGCACCTGGGACGAGATAACCCAAGATATGAATACAGGCTG